GGTCCTCACGCCCCTCGCGGAGGAGTGCATCGCGCTGATGAATCGCGTCCAGACGACCTTCGTCCCGACGGTGATTCTGCACCTGGCGACCTACTTCGCGCCGGAGATGGCGCCGGTGATGGGGCGGCTTGGGCGCGCGCTCATCCAGCACTTTCTCGCCACCGCCTTCGAGGTCGAGAGCTTCGACGGCGCGATCGGCGCCGACAACATCGACCAAATCGAACGCGCCTCGCTCTCGGCCGACGCGCTCCTCGAGGCAATTTACACGGTGCTGCTCTCCTGCGCCGAGAATCATCCGTCGTTTTTGGATATGCGGCCCGATATGCTGAGGCTTATCCGCGCCATTCTCCAACACTCCGAATGCTATAACTTCATGGAGAAGGCGCTGCTTATATTCCTACACGTCGTGCGATTCTCCGAGGATGCGATTCCCCCCGAGTGCTGGGAGATGCTCTCGCTGCTCTTTCAAAGCGTCGACTCCGGGGTCGGGGTGGATTTTTTCGTCAACATCGAGGAGGTTCTTGACAACCTGGTGTCCGGCGCGACCCTGGAGTTTTTGACCAACGGACCCATCATGGAAGCGACCTTTCTTGCCTGCCAAAAAATGCTGATCGGCGGCGTGGTCTGCGTGCCCGAGTGCAAGATCGCCGCCGCGCAGATGATCGAGGCGTTATTTCATCAGGCGAAGGGATGTACCGCGCACCCCGGCCTTCTCGACGCGCATCTTCCCCATTTTGTGGATTTACTTCTGCAATCTCTCGTGCACTCCGATTTGCAGGAGACCCTCGACCCCCAATTGCGGATTTGGATCGTCGCGGCGATGATGGATTGTTTTTACTACAACCCGCGTCTGGCCTTCGAGGCGTTGGTGCGGGCAAACGCCCACGAGGCCTTTTTCCGCGGCTTTTTCTACCTCTTCCGGGGCTGTATTCCCGAGCTTTCCCCTCTCGCCCCTTTTCAGGCCGCGAGAGGGACGAAGAAAGTCGCGAAGCCGCGAAAAGTCTACCCCGACGCGACCGAGGCCGCCGAGGTGGTCGAGCTGCTGTCAATTCTCACGCGCAAAGTCCTCATCCTCGGCTTGACGTCGTTGATGGGGTTTGTGGGCGGCTATGCGGGAGGGGGCGCCCCGCCGGATGGGGAGGGGCTGGCCCTCGCCGCGCGGGTATTTCTTGAGCAGCACCTCCTCAAGGCGGTGGGGCTTGCGCAGTATTGTATTTTTCGCAATCAGGGGATCTACACGAAGCGTTGTCAGGTCTCCGAGCGGAATTTGCACGATATTCGCACCGGCGCCGACCCCAAGAAGGACGACGATGTCGACGTCGACGACGACGACCTGCTCGATCTCAACGCGGCCTCCGACGACGATGAGGATGATGAAGGCGGAATGGATGACTTTCAGGCCATCGATGATAACGACGAGGACGACGACGACGACGACGACGATTTCGGCGTTTCGGTCGACGAGGGAGACGATTATGAGAGTCCGATTGATGAGATCAACGAGGTTCAGTTTTTCTTGCAATGGTTGGGGCACTTTTTACACCAAGACGTCGCCCTACGCGCGTCCGTCTTGCCGATTTTGAAAGCCGAAAATGAATACACCAACGCGGAGCAGACCGCCCAGAGGTACCGACAATTGTGTAAAGAGTTGGATGCGGCGATGCGCGAAGACATTCAAAGGCGACAAAGACAGGCGGCTGGCTGAAATGCAATTCAATTCGTAGTGAAGAAGGAGAAACCAAAAACAATCTTAAGCAAGTAGACCGGAAAGACACCAAGACCCATACAGAGGGAGTAGGTCAAAAATACAAACGAGGGTGCAGATATTTTTGCTTACTACATTGCGCCTATGCATAGTCTGATGTTTAGGATGTTGTACAGAAAACACGGAATTAAAACATAAATGAATAACACCGAGGTAATCGAATAATAAAAAAAAACAATAACAAAAGGAGACAAAAGTTGCGCTAGTATACTTTTATGCTCAAGCGAAGCACTTCATTATTATTATGCGATTAGTTGAAGTCAATCCATTCTTCTTTTTATTATCAAAATTGTTTTCATCACAATAGCTTATTCTACACATCTTAGGGGATTGTAGTGTTTTAATTTGCTTGTGTGGAATCATCGTAGGTATACATACCATAATTAGATAGCCCATTAATAAAGTAGCTTTCCGGAAATATCTTTTGTGAAAAAATTATACACTCCTATACACTCATATCAGATATCATAAGGAAAAAAAAAATATGGTTAAAAGGTAAGAACAGATTTAGCTAATTTTCATTTATACGTATATATATAATTAATCCTACTGAAGCCACGCGCTAAGTTCAAAAGGGGTAGAACGGCGTAAAGTCCTTTTTTTTTTTACCCAACCTGAAAGGATACATTATATGATACCATTGATACAGTTATCATTGTCAAACATACTAGCATAAGGGCTAGACTTGCTTCCAATCTGTTTTAAAAAAACACCCCAGCCGGATGAGTGAATTGCATCTCGAGAACTTCGCGAGCTGCCAAGCGGCCCGCTTCGCCCCGATCCC